GTGTTGAACAGGAGAAGAAGAGAGAAGAGGAGGAGAAATGGTAGAAGCGTTGGAAGAAGTGAGGAGTTGTGAAAATGGAGGAAATATGAGAGTGGGGAGGTCAGAAATTGTGATAAGGAAGGAAGTGAAAGTAAGAGTGATTTGCAAAGAAGGGAATAAAAAAGACAATAGAGTAAGGGCGAGCGTAAGATACGGAAACGATATAAAGCTTAAAAACTATAAGACGATGCGAAATTTAGGTTTAAGTTTTTTTACTTTAGTATGTAAGTTTAGTTGTAAGGATAGGATTAGGATTGTGACCAAAGAAAAGAGATTTATGAGAATTAGTTTTAAGTACAAGCGTGAAGTATATGAGAACGTTAGGGATAGAGTTAAGGAAAATAGGATGTAAGGAAATATGTTGAGTAAGAGACAAACTCTTTATAGGGTGCATTATAAAATACAAATATTAGTTCCTAAGTATGAAATATGAAAAGTTTATGCGGAGATTAGGAAAGGGAAGTGGGTTTTTTGTTTTCTTCCACTGTAGTAAGGAATCAAGAGGAATAGCGTATGCTTATGTTCAGTTTTAGTTCTTTTTTATTAATTTTGTTTTGTGTTATGATTGTCGATAGGAACAAAGACAGTTTCAGTTTAAGTTTTTCTTTAATTTTCTTTTGTTTTATGTTGTTTCTTTTTTATGATTGGGAAAGGAGAAATGGTGTCTGTGGGGAATTGAGTGGGAAGTGGAGAATGAATAGTATTACGTTGAAGGGGGAAAAATGAAGTGTGGCGTATGGAATGCGAGAAGTGTCAGAAATAAGAGGGAGGAAGTTAGAAGGTTGACAGAAGGTTTGGATGTGCTAGCGATAGTAGAAACCTGGTTGAGGCCGGAGGAGATGTTTAGAATACCAGGATGGCATGTAATCAGGAAGGATAGTGAGACGGAGAATAGAAGTGGGGGTATGTGCGTGATGGTTAGGGAAAATATTAAGGTGTTAAACACAGGAGTGTACCTTAGAAATAATAGTAAGTGGAAAAACATGTGTGTAGAAATAAAAACGATGAGAGGGAAATTAGAAATAGTACTGGTGTATAGGAGACCGGGAACGGGGTTAAGTAAGGAGGAATGTAGGAGACTTTTTAGGAATGCGAGGGCAGGAAATAAGAGGATTTTTATAGGAGATTTTAATGCAAAGAGTAGGAGTTGGAATTGTGAGAGTAGCGATGTTGCGGGGGAGGTCCTGGAAGAGGTGTTGGACGAGGAAAACATGGTGGTGGTGAATTTTGGAACACTGTCCAGAATAGGAAGGCCGGACCAGGTAGCGTCCAATATAGATCTCGTCATTACCACGGCAGAGGAAGCATTGAATGTCAGGATAAGAGAGACAGGGGAGACCGGGGGATCGGATCATCAGGTGATTGAATTTGGGTGGGAAGATGAAGCGCGAACGATAGGAGAAA